TTCTGGTCGCAGCTCTGTGCTGTCAGCAGAAGTCTGTGAGTGTGTGGAGTACACAGGGCCTACTTTCAGTCTTGTGACTCAGGGTGCCTTTTCTCCAAATCCTCTCCTCACCAGTCTTGGGACGGTGCCTGAAATGCCACATTACAACATCACTCCCAATGGTTTGCCAGCACTGCTGGGCCCACTGACAGCAGGACAATTGGGACATTTTCAATCATGAGCAATTTAACTCTGTTTTACATAATTTTTTTTTTCCTCGTTGCAGAAGTCATGACTTCATTACAGACAATTTGGAAAATACAAAAAAGAACATAAAAAAAAAACCTGTAATCACTCTGTAATCACTTGTAAGCACCAATATTATACAGCATTTTCTTCCTTTTTATTTCTAAGCACATTTTTGTGTGTGAATATATATTTTAGATACTGTCTTTAATCTGCTTTCATTACTTCAGAGTTTATAGTGAAATATTTCTATATAGTTAAATATTCTTTCACAACATAATTTTTTATTCTTACAAAATATTCCATTGCAAGGAAGGACTATAATTAATGCCTTTTGAAAAACATTTAGATTATTTCCTTTTAGCTACACCTTTGTGGGGTGCAGGCACTGTTAAAGCTAAAGCTCTGTACATATCTGTTTATTTCCTTAGAAAACAATCATCGGGAAAAATAGTTGGGGCCAAGAGTATGCATATTTTAAGATAATTTTTTTATATATATAATGTCAACTGCCCTTTAGAAAAATTGCACCAAATTAAATTCTCATCAAGAGTTTATAACTGTACCTGTTCCTGTCTACCCTTACCAACATTATTTCTTCTTTTCTTTCCACTTATTTATTTCAGAGAGGAAGGAAGAGGGAGAGAGATATAGAAACACCGATGAGAGATAATCATTGATTGGTTGCCTCGTGCCCCTTATTAGGGATCAGGCCGAAACCTGGGCCTGTGCCCTGACCTGGAATCGAACTGCAACTTCCTGATTCATAGGTTGACGCTCAACCACTGAGTCACATCAGCTGGGCCCAAAATTATTTCCTGTAATAAAAAAGGCTGTTAGTTTGATAGATGAAAACATGCACTTATTAATTTTCTTTTATCCATTTAGTCTTAGTTCAGAATAGAGTTTAATAAGTTTGACTAAAGAGTGATAGTGATGGGGTAGGAGAAGGAGGAGAAGCAAGATCCAGGATAAGGGAACTGCTAATGGATTTTATAAAAGAACACTAGTGTCCTGATGCACAGATTCGTGCAGATTGCAAGGAAATTAATGAAAAGAAACATTTCAATATCACTATTCGCCCTTTCTCTATAATAGGTCAACCAAATTCACGGTCGGCAATCACATGGGTGATTGGTGCCAACAAAAGGGTTATATGTATCATACATGCTCAAGTCAACTTAGCCTTTTATATATGTAGACTAAACTTTCTTAATTAGAACTGCTTTTGGACTTAGCTAAGCTTTTTCTAGCCCAGTGAAGCACCCCAACTTCTCTTTCAAGTAATTGTCAGCAAAAACAGCAGTAAATATGAACATGAGGCAGATTATTATTGTAGGTCACGCAGGGAGAACAAAGGGTATTTAACTGCAGCTGTGTTCGACTACATTCTGTGCAGTGAGAAAAACCAGAGACATTTTCAAGTTCCACCATTTCTTGCTTTTTAGTCAGGTCAAGTTTCCAAGCTTTCTAGATCTCCGTTTTCCAGCTAATGAAAAGAAAATAGGATTCTACAGAGTCTCCTATCCACCTACTCCTGTGAGGATCAAATAAGATGAGGCATGGGAAAACACTTCACAGACATTTGGTTACAGTGTAAAATGTTTCCACCTAGGTATAAAGCAAGTCATGTTCCTGGGTTGAAAAAACTCCAAGGAGGCTAGTCACTAGGGAGAGGAAGCTGGGCATTGCTACATAATGTCATTACCTGGCACCTACAGCCACGGCTTCTGGGCTGGCTGTGGGCTGCATTTTGTGCCATGGGTTCTTGACAGTGTTGGCGTGATTTGGCGGGGTGAAGCTCCAGAGTGGTGGCAGGGCCTGTGTCCCACTTAGGGGAAACCAAGTGTTGGTTTGTCAGGGCCAGGTCCATGGTGCCAGTTCCTTTTAAATGGCCAGTGCACGTCATGGCAGCTCTTACATTGAGTGTCTGCCCCCTAGTGATGAGTGCGTGTCACAGCTACTGGTCAGACAGGCACTTAGCCTTTAATATATATAGATTGGGCCGAAACTGGTTTGGCTCAGCGGTAGAGCATCAGTCTGTGGACTGAAAGGTCCCGGGTTTGATTCCGGTCAGGGGCATGTACGTTGGTTGCGGGCACATTCCCGGTAGGGCGTGTGCAAGAGGCAGCTAGTCGATGTTTCTCTCTCATCGACGTTTCTAGCTCTCTATCTCTCTTCCTCCTCTCTGCGAAAAATCAATAAAATATATTAAAATAATATATATAGATTGGAACATGATACGTAAAAGTTGAAAAATACAGTCCACGAGGTTTAAACTCTTAAGGGGTTGTGAAGTGTCAGATATTTTATTCCCCCTCCCCTGCTCAGGGAGAAAGATCCAGAGAATCTCACCCTCTCCCTGTCACTGAAAGAAGCAAGGACCACCATCCGGCTCAATCCAGTCTAAAAATCACTGAGTCTGCAGAAGGAAGGTTCTTTTCAACCCCTGGCACTTTAGGCTCCTGGACCACTCTGGCCCTGTCTCCTCATTAAGAAAGTGAGGATGACATCACACCTACCTTGAAGGTTTACTGTGGAACTAAATCAAGTCATACGTTTGAAAATATTTTGTAAACCTTAACTGTTACAAAGGAGTGTGGCAGATGAATTAAATTCTAAAGTCATCAAAACAAGTAAAGTTAAAACTGACTGCAACAAGTTACTTAGAAGTTCCTTAAACCACACTTTGGAGTTTGAGAACAAAGACCCTCTGACCAAGAGCCCAGAGGAATACAGTCTCAGTAGAATTGCCAGTGGAATTGCTGCAATGTAACTTCTTTTCGTTTCCCCTTTCTGCCAAGTGCATAAATGAATCTGAGCAAGTTAGAAGAAAATATGATGCAACTGTTATTCTACAATTTTATATTGGCAAACCAAGAAACCTCTCTGGGCTTCTTTGCCTAATGGCATAGTTCAGCTGCATCAGGGTTTCATCCAATATTTCATTTGACAATTATTTTCATTGTTTACTATTCTGACGATATTCCAGGCTGCTGTGCTGGATTGGGGGGTTGGGGAGGACCGCCTGTAAGGAGACAGTCTCACAGGCAGTCTGACCACAACAGGCTGGCGAGTGGTGAGACAGTTTCAACTTTGATTTGAGGAAATCTGGTTCTTTGATCACGTTCTGAGGAATGCAGCGAATGTTTAGGAAGACAATGTAAAGTTACATAGTTTGTTATGAACACTAGCTACAATGCTACCTCTGATATGGATTACGTTACTGACGTTTTTTTGTTTATGCTGCCACTTTTTTACTCGAGTTAACTTCTTGTTTTTAATCTGGGCTAACTCAAGTGTTTTTAACTGAAAATATACACACATGGGAAAAATAAAAATGTACTAAAAAGGTAAACAATGAGAAACAAAGTATTTTATTCTAGACACCCCTCTACTCCCACTCCACACTCTATCCCCCACTCATGCTATCCTCCCTATTCACAGGGAATCACTGAGTCAGTGCTTTAAAACAAGCAGGTAAGGTGATCCCTGTGGTTCAGAAGTGAAACACCGAGCTACAGTGTAATGTCTAAAGTCCTTTCCAGCTCTAACACGAAGGCCAAGTCTTTTCGGGTACATACCCTAGACAGCCTCGCCTTTTCTCAAATTATGGCAGGTAAAAGGTACAGAGGAATGCAAACTGAACTAAAACATATCCTCTAGAGCAGTGTTTCCCAAAGTGTGGTACGCGTACCCCCAGGGGTGCGGGAAGAGTTTGGTGGGGGTACGCTTTGCACTGGAGTTTGGCGGGGATATGCACTGCACCGTGCTTAGCTGCACCTAATTCTACGTTCTCATGAGTACGAGGGGTACTCAGCCTTACGAACATTATAGAAGGGGTACACATATGTCAAAAGTTTGGGAAACACTGCTCTAGGACAGAGGGCAGGACGCCTGGCATTTTCGTCGCCGTCGGTTATTTACGGATTGAACAGAGGCTTCCACTAGGATGTAAACTCCATGAGGGCAGGAACCTCGCCACCAATTCTCACAGCGGAAGGGACCTTGGCACTCAGGAAGGGACCCCGGGGCCTGGGAGCCCAGCGTGGGAACGCAGGAAGGGGCGGTCACGTGACACCCCCCTCCCCCCCGCCACCCTCTCGGGAGGCCTCACCAGCCCACAGGGAAGTCTGATCTGTCTGGGCCAGGGGAGGGGCGTGGGCTGCAGGCAGGGACGTCTCCCCGCAGGGTCCCGCCTGGCTCAGCCTGAGCCGCCTCCGAGCCTCCGGCGCCCCGGGCCGGCCCTGCCCGCGCGCTCCGGCTGGCGAGTGGGAGGCGCCGGGGGAGGGGGGGGCGGAAGGGAGGCCAATCCGCCGGCGTCTGCACGCCGCGCCGCGCAGAGGCCGCACGAGAGGATGGGGGCGTGGCTTCCGGGGCGGGGGCGGGGTTTCCGGGGGCGGAGGCGGGGCCGCGAGAGGCCTCCCTGCGCGTGCGCGCGCGGCCGCCTTCCCACGAGGCGCGGGGTGCTGACGCTCGCGCGGCCCGAGGACGGGGCGGGGCCGGGGCGGGTCCCCGCGCTCCTCCGCCCCATCCGACTCCCCGACTCGCCCTCTTCCCCCCCCAACACACACACTGGGCCCCGTCAGCTCGGAGGTGCCTTCGTAGGTTGGCATCGCGGTGGCCCGGCCCGTGGGCAGATGCCCCGAGCTGCCGGCGGCGGCGGTGCGGGAGGCGGGCGTCCGGCCCCGGGCCGCTGAGTGGGACGGACGGACGGACGGACCGGGCTGGGGGCCGCCGGGCGCCGCGGCGTCGGAGGCGGCTCCGCGCGGACCATGTATTTCCTGAGCGGCTGGCCCAAGAGGCTGCTCTGCCCGGTGGGAAGCCCGGCCGAGGCGCCCGTCCACGTCCAGTCCGACCCGCAGAGGACTCTCCTGGCCGTGCTGGCCGCGGCCCGCCTCAGCATCTGGTTCAGCCGAGTGAGTACAGCCGCCGCCCAGCCCTCCTCTTCCACCCCGGGTCCCGGACCCTAGACCCACTGGTCTTGGCCGTCCACCTCCTCTGACCCGGGTCTGGGCAGGTCCTGCGACCGAGGCTCCGGGGTGGAGGCAAGCGCCGCCGCCGCCGCCGAAAAGCCCCGGTGCCGCCCGCGTAGGACAGACCGCCCTGCGCCGGGCAGACCCCGCGCTCTCCCTCGGCGGAGCCCAGACTTGCCCTCCCCCATTCCTCCGGGAGCAGATTTGTTTATTAAACTAACCACAATTAGCAATCTGGCCGCTGCGGTGTTTCCAGCCCTCGGGTTTGGAATGGAAGGCCGTTGATTTTAGAGTTGGGGAAAGCCTGTTGGGCTGCTTATCCAGTGCCAGACTTCTCAGGCCTCTGATAACTTATTTCTGGCAACTGCTACTCAGCAGGAGTTGTGTGTGTGTGTGTGTGTGTGTGTGTGTGTGTGTGTGTGTGTGTGCTTATTTCTCTCTCCCCCCTCCCCCCAAAGGTTGGGTTATACAACTCGTCGCTTCTCTTCCCCAGCATCTCCCCACTTGCAGGCTAGTCCTTTTCTTCAGTGGAGAATTTGGTGTGGGGAGTGGAGGGGGAGAAGTTAGTAGGAGCAGAAATAGAACTCAGGCCTGTCCCTGCCATGCCAAGGTATTAACACCTGGAAATAATAAGATTTGGATAGAGCCTGAAACTGAGTTCTGTTCTTGCTTTCTGTGTATCCTGTGGTTGGTTGGTTTCTTTCTTTCTTTCTTTCTTTCTTTCTTTCTTTCTTTCTTTCTTTCTTTCTTTCTTTCTTTCTTTCTTTCTTTCTTTCTTTCTTTCTTTCTTTCTTTCTTTCTCTTTCTTTCTTTCTTTCTTTCTTTCTTTCTTTCTTTCTTTCTTTCTTTCTTTCTTTCATCTAATTACTGAGTAGATAAAATAAAAAGTTGCAAAAGTAAATAGTGGATGAGATACACTATTTTTTGAGAGCTGTCTACAAAGTTTCAGAGTAGGATATAAAAGTGTTCTTTTCTTTTCTTTTTTTTTTCTTTTTTTTTTTTTTTTTTAAAAGAAGGCATACTAATAGATGTCCGAGTGAAGTTTTTTCTCTCTTCGGAGGTTGTTTGACCATCTGGAAATAGGTCGTGACCTTGGCTGTATTAGATCTACGTGAAAAGCTGGTTTTAGTTAAATTAGTTAAAACCCCCCCAGCTTTCTGTGTTTAACCATTTGAACATCTGCGAGGTCTTTGGCTATCCTCACACACGACCCTAGTAAAAGTGATGATGAGATTTAAACATTTCTGGTCCTTTAAATAACTATCGTAGGTAGACAGTAAATCAGGTTTTACCATTAAGTTTTGGCTGATTTACTTTTTAAATATATATTAAAACAAAATAGGTTGTCATAAATACGACAATATGACTTCTGTCTGTTTGCTTGTTGCATTTTTTAAATATGTATTGCATATCATTTGGTTCTTAAATGATATACTAATGCGTTTACATTGTGTATGCCAATTAAATAATTTTTTTTGTTTGCGTGTATCTAATTATTATTTTAAATACATGAAAAAAATAATTATACCTTGAATTTTAAATTGTCAGTTGTCTTCTGAGTTTAGTGGTTAATTTCGCTCTTAATGTAACACGTTTTAAAAAGACTAATATTTAGTTTCCCTTATCTCTAAAAAGGCAGACCTAACTTATTTTTAGGCAGAACTTAATATGAGGGATGAATAGACCAGAAGCCTGTAAATTACTTTAATCCTTTGTAAAAGAAACAAAAATTTGACTCAATTTTGTGAATATTGAGAATATCTGTGTGTGTTTGCTTTTGGAGTTACCATGTAAATGCTATGTACATCTAAGACAGTCTAGAATTTAAAAGTAGTTATTCCTTTCATTCAAACTCGCACCCTACACACAGATAGCTGCTTTCTACAGAAGCCCTGGGGCCACTACATTAAGGCCCTGTGTATAAAAAGCTAGGTTGTAGGGAAGCTATGGGGTCAGAAGTATAAGGTAAAATGAAATGTAAGTATACCTTGTGGGTGGAGTAGAGACCACAAGTACTATAGGTTTATGAATGGTTCGTCTTGCTCATTGGCATCAGCTTTGTCACTTTAAAAATTAAGTATTGGACCAGATGATTTTAAGGTCTTTGATGATATAACTGGGCGAATGAGTAACAGGTGCCTGTAACTGAGTGGATGCAGAACAGGTGCCAGACTCCAGTCTTCAGCCTCCTCTTCCTGAGATACGGTCCCCCCCCCCCCCCCCCCCAATCAGAAAAATTTTAAATGTCTAAACGTACTGAAACTGTATATGTTAAAATAAATTTAGGTCAACAAACTTTTTTTTAAAACATGAGAACACCTTCAGCTAAATTGAGGAGCTGTCAGTCCTACATAATTTAGAATGAATTGCTGTAAAATAGTGTGAATGAGTGAGAACATGAAAGCTTTGATTTTGGAGAGAGATTGTATATGCAAGTATTTTATAGAATAAAGTGAATTTTGAAGATCTAAAGGGTTTTGAGAAATAGTTGAGGTTTTAAAAGCTGCTTGAGGGCTTTTGGAGACAGGGAGAGAGACATCAAAGAGATGAGACGATATACAATTTGCTTACTTCAAATTTGGGTCTTAGCTAAGTTAAACTCGGGAGAATGTATCTTTTTTAAAAAGAAAAATAGGTTTGTGGAAGATACATGCATTTATAATCTAAGCTGGTTTGTTGATATATATATATATATATATATATATATATATATATATATATATTGATTTTTAAATATACTTTATTGATTTTGTACAGAGAGGAAGGGAGAGAGATAGAGAGTTAGAAACATCGATGAGAGAGTCATCGATCAGCTGCCTCTTGCACACCCCCTACTGGGGATATGCCGGCAACCAAGGTACATGCCCTTGACTGGAATCGAACCCGGGACCCTTCAGTCCCCAAGCTGAAGCTCTATCCATTGAGCCAAACCGGTCTCTGCTATATATTGATTTTTAGAGAGAGAGGAAGGGAGAGGGATAGAGAAAAATATCATTGATCAGCTGCCTTCTGCACACTGCCTACTGGAGATTGAGCCCTGCTAGCTGGGCATGTGCCCTGACCGGGAATTGACCTTGTGACCTCTTGGTTCCTGGCTCAGTACTCAACCGCTGAGCCACACGAGGCTGAGCCTAAGCTGGCTTTTTTACTAATATCCCAAAGAATTATTACGTGTAAAAGGTTGATTAGTCACTGAACTGTGGAAACAAAGTGAAATCGCTAAGAGTAACTTCTGTATATTTTGTTGATTTTCTAGTGAACTTTTACTTATTCCTTATAACTACTATTATTTAGCCTAAGTATCTAATGGAATCCCAGTGTTATAGAGTCATATCTCTTCAAAATTCTTTCCAAACTCCAAATTTGAGAAATATAGTATACTGCTATTTAATGTGTTAATGAAAAAGAGTTCCTGTAGATACTTTGCCTTTTTATTTCATCTTTAGTAACTGTTTTTTCTGTGTAACTTTACATAAATTCGGTTTTTCTACTTTGTGATTCCACTTAGAAGTTCTAAACACTACTCAAGAGTTTACAACAAGAATCATTTAAATATTTTGGAACCCTCAAAAAGGGTGCTCAAAAAAGATTTGGCATGTATATGTTAAATTGGGGTGGTAAAGGTGTAACTTTATGAAACAGTTGATGATGTATTTCTGCCAAGGGTATTGTAGAAGGACTTGTGTCAGCTTTGAGGATGAAGCTGCTGTTTAAAACACATTATGATTAATGAATGAAATGGATGTTTTGTGAAATGAGTTGTTTTGTATTGTACCAGAGATACTAGAATTATTCCTATAGTATTCATTTAACTATGAATATGGAAGTCTGCATATGTGAATCACAAAATGATACCTTAGAATGCTTGAATTTAAATTAGTCTTATCTCAATTTTCAGGACATTGTTTCAAATATATAAATTAGCCTCAGCAGTATTTTTGAACACCTCCTGGGAAAGAAAGTCCAAATGATGAAGGGGCATGCTCTATGTAGCAAAACATTTTATCCAAAGATATTAGTGTGTTAATATGATAGTATATGAAAATTTGTCTGTTATCACTATGAAGATTACTAATAAAATTAGCTTATGAAATAAATTATGTGTCTTGAGTAACTCTAATTAGAATCTTGTTCTCCTTGGTATATGCTAATAATAGAAAATAGTGAGTTAGGTGTTCAATGAAGCAAGATGTAGGATCAGGTATCTGGTTAACCGTGTGACCTCAGGAAGGACATTTATTTTGTCCCACAGTTTCCCAACTCTCCCATTTCTTACTCTTCCACATCTATTCTATTACTGCCTTCACAGAGCCTTCCTTATGAACTATTGTTGGGAAGTCTACTAGGGTTCAGTGTTGGTTAAAGAATGAAGTTCAAACTCTACTTAGTTTGATATCATAGACACTCCCCTGTTGGAATGTTTTCTTGCACCATCTCTGCCTATCAGCATATTATTCATCCTTTAGCTTCTGTTGAAATTCTGCTTTCTATATGAGTCATTCTCTATCATAATCAGAATGTACTTTTTTTTGATGAACTATTTGTATTGTAAGTTTATCACACGCTTTATTTCTCTATCTAGATTATAATTGTATGGAGGGCAGAAATGATTTTATTTTGTGTTATTAATAATGCCTTGCATAAAAAGTGCTTAATAAGTATTTGTAAAATAAATAAATGAATTCAGGATATCTGTCCTATCTGAAGCATACAATTTTTTGAAGGTTTAATAACTGAAAGACTTTTAAGTGTTGACATGTAATTTAAAAAATATGGTATGGTAAATTTCAGTTTAAATTTAGAGAAACTTCTTTAAAGAGGATTATATAAGTGCAGGGAAATTAAGTACTATTTTCTATACATAGTCCACATTATTTTAGAAAAGTAGGTTATGTTATTTACAGTAGCCAAGATATGGAAACCTAAGTATCTGTCAGTGGATG